TTTCCCAATTTTGAACCAGACCATTGTTCCATGTCTGATTCTAATTGTTGCTTCTTGAGCCACATACAGGTTTCTTGGGAGGCAGGTCAGGTGGTCTGGTATTCCCATCTCTTGAAGAATTTTCCACAGTTTGCTGTGATCCACATAGTCAAAGGCTTTGGCTTAGTGAATGAAGCAGAAGTAAATGTTGTTCTGGAACTCTCTTGCTTTTTCTGTGACTCTGCAGATGTTGGCAATTTGATATCTGGTTCCTCTACTTTTCTAAATCCAGCTTGTATATCTAGGAGTTCTTGGTTCACATACTGTTTAAGCCTAGCTTGGAGAATTTTGAGTATTACTTTGCTAGCGTGTGAGATGAGTATAATTGGGCAATAGTTTGAATATTCTTTAGCCTTGCGCTTCTTTGGGATTGGAATGAAAACTGACCTTTGCCAGTCCTGTGGCCACTGCTGAGTTTTGCAAACTTGACATATTGAGTGCAACAGTTTCACAGCATCATCTTTTAAGATATGAAATAGCTCAACTGGAATTCCATCACCTCCGCTAGCTTTGTTCATAGTAATGCTTCCTAAGGCCCGCTTGACTTCATATTCCAAGATGTCTGATCTAGGTGAGTGATCACACCATTGTGGTTATCCAAGTCATTAAGATCTTTTTTGTACAGTTCTTCTGTGCATTCTTGCCACCTCTTCTTAATATCTTCTGCTTCTGTTAGGTTCATACCATTTATATCCTTTATTGTGCCCATCTTTGCATGAAATGCTCCCTTGGTATTTAATTTTCTTGAAGAGATCTCTAGTCTTTCTCATTCTATTGTTTTCCTCTATTATTTGCATTGTTCATTAGGAAGGCTTTCTTTTCTCCTTGCTATTCTTTGGAACTCTGCACTCAGATGGATACATCTTTCCTTTTCCCCTTTGCCTTTTGCTTCTCTTCTTTTCTCAGCTATTTGTAAGGCGGCCTCAGACAACCATTTTGCCTTTTTGCATTCCTTTTTCTTGGGGATGGTTTTGATCATTGTCTCCTGTTCAATGTTACGAACCTCCATCCATAGTTCTTTAGGCACTCTGTCTATCAGATCTAATCCCTTGAATCTATTTGTCACTTCCATTGTATAATCGTAAGGGATTTAATTTAGATCATACCTGAATGGTCTAGTGGTTTGCCCTACTTTCTTCAGTTTAAGTCCGAATTTGGCAATAAGGAGCCACATTCAGCTCCTGGTCTGTTTTTGCTGACTGTATAGAGCTTTTCCATCTTTGGCTGCAAAGAATGTAATCAATCTGAATGGTATTGACCATCTGATAGAGTCATCTTTTGTGTTGTTGGAACAGGGTGTTTGCTATGATCAGTATGGACTATGCTGTATAGTATAGTGAGTTGGATACACATATAGAAACATTCTTTTATATTCTTTTCCCTTGTGGTTTATTACATTTTATTGAATACAGTTCCCCATGTTAAACAGTAGAATCTTGTTGTTTATCCATCCTATATATATTAGTTTGTATCTACTAATCCCAAATTTCCAATCCCTCTCTCCCCACCCCCACCCCTGACAACTACAAGTCTTTTCTCTATGTCTATGATGTTTTTTCTGTTTTGTAGATGTGTTCATTTCTCTCATATTTTAAATTCCACGTAAAGAGTTATCATATTGTATTTGTCTTTTTGACTTACTTTGCCAGTCTCTAGGTCCATCCACGTTGCTGCAAATGACATTGTTTCTTTCTTTTTATTTACTCTTTTAAAAGAGTAATCTTCCTGTTAGACTTTTCTTGATATCTTTTTTTCTTGCATCCTCTTTTTTCTTCACTGTTTAAATTGCTGTCTTCGCTGGCTTCTTATCTCCTTCGTGATGCATCTGTATTTTCTTCATGGTTCTTCCTTCTGTGCCCTAGCTGCCAGATACCTGCCCAGTGGCCCTGAATAAGTATGACTCAGCTTTTATCTCTTTCAGCTTATTTACTCATGAAGCTTCAATTATTATTTTTAATTATGCCATTTCATTATTATCATTTATAATTCTGTTGTGTTTTTTACATTTGATTAAATAGTTCATGTGTTACCTTTAATACACCTACCAGTTGCTATAAATGTTTTTCCTGAACTGTCCTTCACATCCTGAATTATCCTGTGATGTGCCTGATACACTTGACAGATGAGGAAACTGAGAGTGAGAGGTTAATGTCTTGCCCATGAGTACCCACATCAAGTTTTAAGTGGTAGATCTGGAAGTCATTCTCAGGCCTGGATCTTTCTGTTTCTTTCTCACTTCATCCATCCAAAATGCATGTACTGAGTGTGTGCCATGTGCCAGGCAGTGTGCTAGGCTCTGGCACACCCTGAAAAACTGATGCACAGTCTGGGGCCACCATGCAGACTGTTGCCACAGCCCGCACTTTCCAGAACACTGTCAAGGGCCCTGTGCTGGGTGAGCCCTGCTCAGGTGCTTTCACTTCCCTCTTTCATCCTTGCTTCAAGCTTCAGATATCTAAATAAAAATTCATGAATTGCCTTTCTTTATGCAAGCTACCTGCTCTCCCCTCCAAAATGACATGCGTTTCTATCCCATTACCCCATCTCTTTCATTCAGCACTTTCAATATACATCCAAGACCTCTTGGTGGTGTTCTCCTTGACAATGTTTCTTTCATCTGTCTCTACCTCCCCATCTCCTCTCTTCACCATTCTAATATCAGCTCCCACGTCCTCATTTCTTGATTTATGAAAGCCTCGAAGCTGGGTTCTGATTAGTTTTATTCTCTGCTTCAGAATTCACTAGACTCTAAGCTTCCTAAAGGCCTAGAGGGCTGCTCATTGATTCTCATTTCCAGAACACTGTCCAAGTCACACAAGAGACATTCAGATGACTACTAAAGCATCTTTGATGTTTAGATCACAGTTCTCAAACTTGATCTGGGGTTTATCTGGAGATGACAAGTAGCTTTCTTGGCAGGTTATGAGAATGTATTACATGTAACTGTTGTCTGCATTTCAATAATATATACTATATATTTTAAACCAACTCTTATTTCTGCTTTCTTCCATTAATGTTTGCTCCCATGTAATTTTTTTTTCCCATCTGCTGGCATCAGAGCAGAAATTTATGGTTAAGAACTGATAAATACTCCTTCCATTAGAGAACATAACTCTTCCAATTTTTTCTGATGCTACTATAACTCCATAGAAACACAATTTGAGAACCACTTTAGGTTACAGAGAGGTTATGAGCCATTCAGAATTTTAGATGTTCTTGGATAGGCCAGCTTCATGCCTGTCCCCAAGAGGGTTTCTCCCATTTTGCAGGAAAAAGCTACTGTGTATTTTCTGAAGCCTTGGAGTCACTGTTTGTATCTCAGGGAACTGACAGGCAGAGGATTGGTGTGCCAGCGCTTTCTTCCTCGCTTTCTTGTCTCACCTGGTCCATCTCTCCACGATTCATGATTGGGAATTCATGGTTGGGAATTCATGGTTGTCTCATTCCCAGGAGGGATATTTGTGCAGACATGATCGACATCATTGTGACCATCAAATTCTGTTTTACCATCTCCTCCTTTTTCTCATTAGAAGTAAATTATTAGCACAGTTAGCAATACTCATGGAGTGAAAGAAATTTTTGTTCTTAAGAATATTTTGAAGATGTTAGACTTGTGGCATTTCTAATGTGCATTATTACTTTTAGAAATCATTTATCTAGATGACCATTCAGAGGATATATATGCATTCTTCAGAACTCAAACCAAAGCAGAATAGTAATTGTAAATAATTCTGTCCCAAAATAAATCTTTTTGTAAATGACTTAACACTGACTACAGCTTTTATTACTTAAGATAGCAGGCTTTTAAATAAGGATAATAACTATAATTTAATGTATTTATTATATAATAGCATGCAAACTGATGCAGAAAATCTTGAATGTTATGTAATAGATGCCATTGGACCATAGCTCTTGATGAATCATGTTTAGGAGCTAAGCATCTGCCAGTAGTGGAGTTTTGTTTTCTGTTGTTTCTTTTTAAACTTAAAAAAATTTATTTGGAGTAGATTTGCCTTAAAGTCTTTTTTATTCATTTGGAAACTGAGGTGCAAAACCTGGCTTTACTGTGTTACACAGCAATTGCTATAGCATTTATTTTGTTGGGTAAGTGATAGAGTGGAATTTCCAAAAGCTGTCTTCAATGAACAAATGGTATCTTTCTGTAACAACTGTATCAGATCACATTTGATCATAAAAATACTGCATCTGCACTGGGTTTGGAGGATTCAGCAGTGTATAAAATGGACAGAGTCACTGATTTTTTGGAGCTTACATTTTAATGTGGAATTGCAAATAAGCAGCATAACTTTAGGTAGTGAGAAGTGCTATGAAGAAAATCTAAAAGCAGTGTGTTAAAGACTGAAGGAGAGGGATAATTTGGTTAGAGAGATCAGGAGGGACTCGTTGGGAGGTGACACCAGCGCTGAGCTGATGATCCATGCTAGACAGAGTCAGCTTTGTGAAAATCTAGGGGGAAGCAAGTATGAAGGTTTGAACAAGGAATCAGCACTGTGTGTTCAAGAAACAAAAGGCCAGAGAGGCTGGAGGTTAGGGGACAAGGTGAACGTGGCAGGAGGTGGGACAGAATGACTGGCTGAGTTCAAACATTGTAATGTGTTACAGGCAGGAAGAGAAAGGGATGACAGAGGATGAGATGGCTGGATGGCATCACCGACTTTATGGGCATGAGTTTGAGTAAACTCCGGGAGTTGGTGATGGACAGGGAGGCCTGGCGTGCTGCGATTCATGGGGTTGCAAAGAGTCGGACACGACTGAGCGACTGAACTGAACTGAACCGAATGTGTTACAGACCATTGTAAGGAGTCTGGATTTTGTTCTTCAAAACAAAACAGTGGGACACCACTGAGGGTTTTTAATAGGGATGTGGCCAAATCTGCAACAAATGTGCATTGTTGAAAGGTTTCTTTTAAATGGCAATACTTTTTCTTTGTATCTTACAGAATAGAACCAAGGGCTGCCCTTTGGCCAAAGGAAGAAACTCAGCAGGACTTCCATGAGGTAGGTGCACTCATTGTGTTTTTATGAATGTGAATTAGCCAATCATGGAATGTATTATTCTTTTTCCTAGTACTAGAAATTTCCTGGTTAAACCTTTAAATATTCTTGCTCTTAAGTAAACTTATTTTCCTTACAGTGCTTTGGGTACTGTTTCCCCTTGCTCTGGAGCAATTATATTTAAAATATTATTTGCAAGACTAATCACTGTGTCTTGGGCCAAAGCCAAGTCCAGCAGTCATTTCATTACACTTCTTTCAACTTTGCTTCAGGATTGTACTACAGCTGTGAGAGTTAACATTTATAAAATTTTCTCTTAATTTTATTTTATCTTCCCCTCCTGCTTTTTCTAATCCCTTTTTCAGTCTCAAATATAATCTTGCTTACTGTTTTTCCTCGGTGCATGATACAGCTTGGTGTTGCAAAATGGTCTTCTAATAAACTTTGACACATTGAGGCCATATTTTCCAATTCAAGTGATTTCCCACTGAACTGGACATCACAATGTTAATGTTTTTTCTAGGTTTTCTTTGAAATATGTAATTTAATTCTCCCATTGAAAATCACTATAATATAATTAAGGTCCCTTTTTTTTATGAATGCCTTCGCTTTAGTCATTGATTTGGAATACTCTAATTTCTCTTGTCTCATTGTATAATTAAGGAACAGTGGGTGTTATATCTGATTAGGATCATTTCAAAAAAGAATGTAGAGATTTGATGTTCATAAGCCAGGAAGAGAAATGATGGGCTTTAGGCAAATTGTTTGTCATTTTGTGCCATCTCTCCTCTGTCTCCAAAAAAAAAAGACAGTTGAACTTAGGTGATTATATTTTTCTTTAAACTGTTGAACCTGGCATAAATGAATAACTAAAGGTAAACTGGGTTCCTAATTAAACTCAGTTAAATAAATTACTGAAGCTGTGGACAGTGTCCTAAGGATAACACAGATCCTTGCTTGTTATTCTTTTGTGCATAGTGACAGGTTTCAGATTCCACAATCTCACTTGTGGTAAGAAGGGTGAAAAAAAAGTTTGAGAGAGAAGAGGCAAGAGCTTGAATCAATGAACACAGCTGTTTGCCCCACTGGGAACTAAGCAAAATGCTAGTTGTAAAGAAGCACCTATTTGTCTTGACATAAGTAAATAGAAAGATGAAGTGATTGTTAAGAGTCAACTTGTGATAGATTGCAAGTTTATGGGAGAAACTCTGATTTGTGAGCTGGAGCCCCATGAGAATGCTAAGATTACTTGAGCAATTCTCAGATCATAATTGCACAAAGCTCTGTATGAAAATCTGCTTTTCTGTATTCCTTCACTCTATTGTGTTTGCACATTACATGAAATGTGCCAGTTCACTCCCCTGAGAGTACACGGGTACAAGAGTGCTGAATGAAGACAGGCCTCTGAAAGAGCAGTCAGTGCCATATTGTAAATGTGGGCTCTTGCATGAGAAAACTGGTGCTGCTGATCCAGACTTGATAACAGAGTGTGCTCAGGTGGAATTGTTCCAGTAAAGGAGTAAATCATATGTGCAGATCATGTTGTAATTTTGATTTAGGGGCTGAAGGAAACCCGAGGAACACACACTGAGGAAACTTGAACAGAAGCAGCTCATGGTCCAAAGCCATGCCAGGAGAACTGACTCATTCAAACTCATTGATGGAGACATCCTATAGAATGAGAATGTGTTAAACTTGATCTTCCCTAGCTTTTCCTAATCTTAGAGACTGCCAAACTCTCTTATGGAAGAACCCCATAATAATATTTCTTTTGGCAACATAGTCTTATGGAATACAGGTGGGAGATACTACTTTAGTATTTTTAATGCAAATAGAAAATACATATAGAAAAGTGTACGTATTGTAAGTGTACAGCTTGATGAATACTCACAAAGTGTGTAACCAGTGTCAAGAAACAGAACATCGTTAGCATCTCAGGCACCCTTATTTAATTCTTTCCAATCACTCTTCCCCTAGAACGATAACTGTTCTTTGGACTTAAGTAGATTTGTTTTGTCTTTTGTTTGTTTGGTTGGTTTTTGTTTTTGAACTGTATATAAATGGACTGTATGTACTCTTTTGTGTCTGGTTACATTTACTCAGTAGTATGTGTGAGATTCATGTATGTTTGGTATGTAGTTTTAACTTTGATTCTCCTTGCTGTAACCCATTGTATGGTTGTTTCTAGTTTTTGACTCATGATCAGTTGCTACTAGTTGTAATTTTTTTAAAGAACTATCTTCCAGTCTCTTTGTGCATTTGATATTTTATAGGAGTATTCCTTCTATCTCTGAGTGGAAGTGTAAGGAAGAATGTTTTGTTGTATTAACTATCTTCATTGCTCTTTGCCCCTTCTATTTAGATACTGCCCTGTCCAAAACATAGCCTTCTAGTTCTTTAAAAGAACTCACTAGTTCCATATCTGCTCTCTTCCATTCTAACTTGTAAGTCTAAAGAAACAAAAAATCAAGTTTCTTTTCTTTTTATTTATTTATTTATTTTTCCATTTATTTTTATTAGTTGGAGGCTAATTACTTTACAGTATTGTTGTGGTTTTTGCCATACATTGACATGAATCAGCCATGGATTTACATGTGTTCCCCATCCCGATCCCCCCTCCTGCCTCGCTCCCCATCCCATCCCTCTGGGTCTTTTCTTTTCTTAAGTCTTTCTTGAATTTGTTACAATACTGATTCTGTTTTATGTTTTGGTTTTTTGGCCACAAGGCATATGGGATCTTAGTTCCCCAACCAGGGATCGAACCTGTACCCCCTTGCATTGAAAGGCAAAGTCTTAACCAGTGGGCAACCAGGGAAATCCCCCTAAAATGAGTTTCTTGAGGTTTGTAAGAAGAATAGTCCACAAATATTTTCCAGATGTTTTTGTGGACCCTAATGTTGTAATTATTGGTTATAACAATTTTAAGGTATTACTGTATTTTCTACAGAGTTCACATCTGGTATTTCATAACTACTTCCTAAGCTTCTTAATTCCACTTACTCAGATGAGGCTCCTTTGTATTTGATTCCAGAGCTAGTAGGTGACCTGAGCTCTCCTCTGTACAGTAAGGTAATACATGATGTCAAATAGCTACCTATAAGCATCCATCTGTGTGTGTATTCCTGATAGCTTCCCGGTGAACTGATAAACTCACTTTTCATTTTCACTGGGATGAGTATACATTTAATTCCTGCCAGCCTCACTTTTCTTCTGCCAGTTTCAAGCTCCCAGTTTTTGACTATGGGTCTCTCAATAGGATTTGCCTCTCCACTCCATGAGCTTTGGTGTCTCTGGAACTATACTATAGGAGTTGGTTTCTGGAAAACGGATCGTGTCCATTCTGGCATTGACCTGAGCTGTCCAACTCTGACTCTATACAACATCTAGAGATTTTATTTGTTGGGGTCCCCTGGATCCTGGTTGGAAATTATCTGTCTCTGTAATACATAAGAAGGTTTTATTTGTTGTGGTGTCCTGTATCTTGACTGGAAAATATTTTTGAATTGAGATCTGTTAAAGTCTAATTCACCATAATCCTTGGATTTATTTATCCTCGTTCATATAATCATTAGGCAGTCAATAGTTCAAAAAGTTACTTGAAGGATAAAGTGAGAAAAATTACTGTTTTCCCTCTCCACATCCTACTAGTTCCCATCACTGGCTTCAGTTTCAATTAGGAAAAAAAATAACAGTATATGAAGAAAACTAATGGATCTCCCCTTCCCTGAGAAAAGTTACTGTATTGGGTCTTCATATTACTTTTCTAACTCCCAAACTGCATACCATAAATCATCACATCAGCTTCTTTTCATTTTTCATTTGTGAAATTGAGGCAGGTTTTGAATTGGGTTAACTCTAGGAGTTCTTTCAGTTTTAACACTCACTGTTTCTGCTTTTTTCCCCTCCTAGTGCTTATAGGATTTAGTCATAGTTTCCCATGAGGCAAATTGTGCCCCTTTTTGAGTGTATATACACATGTCTGTGTGTGGGGCTCCATGTGAAGGGTTTGATTGTCTTTTTATTACCATCCATAGTTTAGCATATAGATACATTCTGGCATCAAGCCTTGCTAGACACCTAGATGGTACTTACTGTTTTGTTTGAGATGTGTGGTTCTCCCTCAAAACTGTTTTAATTTTGAGAAAATGGTCTAGCAAGAGGCTTCTTTAGGCCCTCAGTTGGCTGAATGGCATTTTTTTCTGTAGGAATAGGCAGCTCTGTTTTTCTATTGAAATACAAACCCAGTCTACAGGGTTAGGGCTTTAGATAAGAATTAACTGGTAGTTTTTCTTCTTCTAGTACGTGGGGTTTTTTCCTTGTGACTGAAAGTCAATTCAAGCTGGCTTTCCTAAACAACGGGATTTTATTGATTCACACACCTAGAACTTTACGGTCAGGATAGATTCTACTCTTGGCTAGATCCAGGGATTAAAGGCTTGTCATGTAGACAGCATCTCTTTCCATTTCAACTCTACTTTCCTATATTGACTTTATCTTTTAGATTGACCCCTCCCTGGGGATATGTTATTCTTATAGTTAGTAATCCCGGTGTATATTAGTTTTCTATTACTGTGTAACAAATTACCAGAAGCTTAGCAGCTTCTCTCTTTTATTAGCTCACAGTTGTGCAGATAATAAACTTGGACAGATTCCATTAGACTCTGCTCAAGCTCTCACAAAACTGAAATCACGGCGCTGGAAATGATAGATTCTTGTCTGGAGGTTCTGGAGATGAGTCCATGTTCACGCTCATTCAGGTCATTGCCTTAATTTACTTCCTTGAGGTTGTAGGACTGTAGACCCCATTTCCTTGCTGGTCAGCATCTGGGAGTAGCTCTCAGCTTCTAGAGGCTGCCTATGTTCCTTCTCACCTTGGCCTCTACATCTTTGAGCCAGCAGCACCAAATCCTTCTGTGCTCCAAATCTCTGATGTTATATTCTACCAGCTAAAAAAAGCCCTCTACTTTTAAAAGGCTCACCCTGATTGGATCAGGCCCACTGAA